GGCGGCCGGCGCGGCGGTGGCCGCCAGTACAGCCCCTCTCAAGCTGCCCCGCGTCTCCTACTATGGGGTGCCCAGCCTGGCCACCCTCATCCCCAGCATCCAGCAGGTGCCCTACTCCCAGGGGGAGCGGACAAGCCCGGGGGCCAGCAGCCTGCCCACCACCGACAGCCCCACCTCCTACCACAACGAGGAGGACGAGGAGGACGACGAGGCCTACGACACCATGGCGGAGGAGCAGTACGGCCAGATGTACATCAAGGCCACCGGCAGCTACGCAGGTAACGCGCCGAGGCCCGCCCGCCCCCTGCCCCGTGCCCCTCAGCCTGCCGGGCGGCCGGGACAGCCCGGGGAGGCCCCGGCCCAGACCGCGTGAGCTTAGCAGGAGCCGAGACCTGAGGCGGGACCGTCCTGGGTCAGCTTTGCAGGGCCTCAGCCGAGGACTTCGAACTCGGTCCCGGGTGAGTGGAGAGGCTGTGGGAACGTGTGCAGCCGCGTGGACCTGCCGGAGGCTGCAGTGTCCGCCTCCCGCCCGCGGGACGCATTGAGGGCCTCAGTGGGCCAGGGACCACCCGAGGGCCCACAGGGTGCCGCGTGACCCAGGCCGGTCGGTCGCCCGCTCGAGGCCTCAGGGTCCCGCTCCGAGAAGCGCCTGCCCCGCGAGCGCCCAGCCGGCCCATTTCCGCCACCTTCGCCCTCTGCCCCTTCTCCTCCTGCGCGGTCTTGCCTCTCCGTGCGGCCGAAGAGTCCCCTGGACCCGTCCTATTTGCCGCCACCTCCCTGGGCCCAGGGCCAAGGGGCAGGCCCAGAAACTGCCTGCTGAAGCGAAGAGCTGCTCCCCCAGGCTAAGGGGGCCTCCCCTGTTTGAGACCTACAAACCCGAGAGGCCCTCATTCCAAAGGCCTGGCGTTGCAGACTGCGTCACAGGGTCACTGTCCCCGGGGACGCTTTCGAATTGCCCAGCAGGGGGTCCCATAGCTGGGGCCCCAGATCAGGTGTCCCCCTGCCTTCTGTGTTCCCCGAAAACTGGCTGTGAGCCGGGCTCACTGCCTGCCCTGATTTGCATGCGGGGCCCGTGTCCAGTGGACTGGATCCGGGCACGTGGTACCCGCGGGAGTGACATCCAGAGCTGGGGCCCTGGGGACAGGGCGGGGACTCTTCTTCGCTGCCTCCCACGCTCTCGTGCCAGGTGGGGCAGACCCTGCTGCCCTTCCTCCCTCGTCTGCTTCTGGACCTGCAGGCACACGCTCTTCATCAGTGCTGGGGCGCAGGGCAGAGGGACCCGGCACCTTGGGACAGCTGCGTCCCCAGGAGTGGTCGAGGACTGGACAGCTGGGACTTGGCCTCTGGGCTGGCCCGCGTGGTCCCTCTCAGAGCTGCGGGGAAGGCACTGCCCTGGGCGCCCCCAGCGGGGCTCGAGGGGGCGTCCCCTAGAAGTCGTTGCTTTCAATGCGTGTCGTCACACTCGCCTGGGTTCCACAGGGTGCCAGCACGCAGGCCGCCTCTGCTGGACTCGATGCTCCCTTCTAGTGGCAGAGGGAAGGTCCGAGAGCCTGCGAGCGGTGACGGCCACCAGGGAGGCGGGGAAGAGCCGCGTGGGGCCCCCTCCCCCGAGTGCGGGCCACGCGGGCCCAGGGCGGCAGACCCCCACGGAGTCGGGCAATCCCCGCCCTCCCGGGCCGGGGCTCGGGTCAGGGCCTGCACCCCTCTCTCCTGGGGCTGCTCCCTTCATGGCGCCCCCTCCAGCAGCGCGGCCTCGGGCCGTGGCGAGTCTGGGACAGTGACGCTGTCCGGTGCTGGGGTTGCGGGGGCCGGTGCAGCAGCCGGTCTCTGAGCACCTGCTTCTCCGGCCGGATGGGCCTCGAGCCCGCTCCTCACCTGGACACTTGGGGCCCACCTGCGTCCTTGGCTTTCCCGAGGAGCCAGTGGGGTGGGGACCATGGAGAGGCCAGGTTGGGGGGCGGGAGGCTGAGCTGCCCCCCTGCCTTGGCCGGGTCTTCTCAGCAGCCCACACCCCCAGTCCGCAGACCAGGCGCTGAGTCCCGCGGAGGCCAGGGGTGCGGCCCGGCCCAGAGCCGTGTGCCTGCAGGGGCTCACCCAACCTCGGGGGAAGAGAGGGAGTCCCTCGGCCTTCAGAACCCCTGGCCTCCACCTCCCGGGGGTGTTGGAGGCCGGCCGGGGCGGCAGGCGGGGGGGCCGGGGCAGCGCTGGCCCTGCCCCCAACGGCCCAGGATGCTGCCGAGTGGGTTCTCCCCCCCGCGAGCCTGTAAGTGGGGCAGGCGGGAGGCTGGGGCGTGAGTTCTTGGTTAAAATCTGGGTTATTGGCAGTGACGTTGCTGGCATCACTGGGCGTCGAGCATGCTGGGAAGACGGTCATAGCGGAGGGGGGGCCGCGGGCCGAGGGGGTCTGTCCCCAAAGTCTGACTGCCTCTCGGGCGCTGGCCCCGTACCCTAGGCTCCCTGCGTTGGCCTGGCCGGGCTGGCCCGGGGCCCTCTCACACCCTTGGGCGTCCGAGCGGTGACGAGGGTCGGCAGGGCCGTCCGTGTGGTGGAGCCCGGGCCACGTGAGGCGCAGCCTGTGACATGGCCTCAGTTTCCCCACCGGCCAGGGGAGCGGTCGGCCGGGGTGACCTCCGAGAGTCTTGACCAGCAGGCCCTGAGCGGGACCCCGCCTCCGCCCACCCGGTGGAGAAGCGCGGGCGGCTCGCGCGGCGGCCACTCGTCCCAGGAGTCGAGGGATTAAACGTGGCACGTGGAGCTGACCGCTGTGTTTCCCGCCCGTTTCCGCCCAGTGTCTCCCGCGGTGACGCGTCCGGGGCCCCACTGAAGGGCGGTGGCTCATGTGTCATTTGTTGCTGTCAGGAGCGATGCCACCGCAAAGGCCCCAACTGGGGGTGTTGATGGGCCGCGTTGGACGCCCCCAGTGGGGCTGTCTGCGCCTCCTCCGCGGGTGCACGTGTGGCCCGGCCGCCTCCGGGGCTCAGGGCAGCCCCTGCGCCAGCTCCCGAGGGCTCACGAGCTGGTGCGTATCTGTCTGCGGGTCGAGGCAGTGGGGTCACGGGGGTCGGTGTCGGCTCAAGGTGCGGGGAGGGGTCTGCCCCATCGCGTCCATGCTCCTGGGGTGCTCTCCTGTACCCACAGGCTGAGAGCAGTGAAGGCCAACGTGGGTGCTCTCACACTGGGGGAGACAGGCGGTGAGGACTCCGAGCACGTTCTCCATCATGGCCGGGTGGCCGCTGTCACCCCAGCCACGGGAGCGCGGCTGCAGGCGGGAGGATGAGCCAGGGGGCCTGTGGGGCAGGGTGCTGGCGCCAGCCAGGCCCCCTTCGTGGTTCTGTGCGGGGGGGGCCCTCGCGGCCTGACCGCCTCTGTGCCTCCCCTGTGCCACCGCCGCGGGCCTGCATTCGTGCGGGGACCTGACTTCAGGCTCGGCGCCCCCCGGCTCAGGCAGACGTCTGATGTCAGTGGCAGATGTCGCTCCCTGTGGGTGCCTGCGACAAGGCGGGCCTGCCTGTTTGACACCAGCCACCGGCGGCCACGTTAACCCTTTCCGGGGCTGTGACCCCTGGGTGTACCGTGCCGGCGCACCAGGACACCAGCCCTGTGTGGCCTGGCCTCCCCTGCCCCTCGGGGGGGCGGCCAGCTCCCCGGTCAGCCCACTGTCCCTCGGGAACTGTTCTGTGGTGGGGGATTCGGGTGTCCGTCGCTGAGCTCCGGGCCCGGCTCCGTGGGACAGGCCCGTGGCTGCGGCGGTGCCAGACCGTCTGGAAGGTTCGTGCCTCCGCCCAGCTGTGCCAGCTCCCGGACACGGGACAGACGCCACAGTGCCTCCTGGCACACGGCAGCACACCTGTCCCCGGCTCGGCCTGGGCTCCCGTGTGCTGGGCTGGAGGGTGGGCAGCGTGTGCGAGCCAGCCCGGTCCAGGCCCCGTGCCACCTCTGAGGGCAGCGCTGCTGCCGTCCCTTCTTACAGGTGGGGGCCAAGGTGCGGGAAAGACCTGGCTGGCAGCTGTGGGACCCCCAGCAGGGCCTCCGCCTGCTCAGCTGACGGGGTGCCTGTCGGAGGTCACTCCTGCCTGCAGCCCAGGGCTCAAAGGCTGTCGCTTGGGGGCCCCCCATGGAAGTGGGGAGAAGGCCGGGTTTCTTCTGCAAACCCTAGTCCCCGCCACCCCGCGTGGGCTCCTGGCCTGGGTCCCAGGTGTCCTCACTGCTGGAGGCCGGCCCAGGCCCTGGTGGGGCCCCGGGACCCAGGGCATGTTTGTCCCTGGCCTGGCTGGGGTGGGACCCAGGTGGAGGTGGGGGGCCTTGAGCCGGGGTGTGTTCTCCCTTCTAAGGCCACCCCGCGGCCCCAGTGGGCCATCCCGGTGTGTCTGCCCCACCAAGGACCCAGGAGCCTGGCCCCAGCCGCCCTGAGGGCCCTCCAGGCTAGGGCTGGTTCCCGCGGGCCTCTGGGGCCGGCCCTCTGTCTCTCCTGTGTCCTGGTCCTCAGCTTCCGCTAGTGCGGCGCCGGTGCCAGGCGGACTCCCGTGCGGCGTCACGTCTCCCTCTAGAGCCCCTGACCGCCCCGAGGGCTCGCACACCAGTTTTATTGGGGTGCAGCTGTGTGCGGTAGTGGAGTGGGCGTGAAGGGCACCCATCTGAGCCACGGGCACCGTCAGATGCGGGGCAGCGCGCGCCCCACCCGTCCGCCCTCCTGGGCCTGCTTCCCGTCGCCCTGGATCCTTCGGCTGTTCTGGAAGGTCCCAGAAACGGAGTCTGGCTTCTCTCATCGCAGGACGCCTCTGAGACTTGCAGGGACCAGACCTGCCTTTTCTCTCCCGCTGTTGCTTATGAAAGTGTCACATGCAATAAAATGTCCCGCTAGGAAGCACGCAGGCGACGGGCGTGTTGACTGCCATCGAGACCAGTCGGTCAGGACACAGAACACCTCGCTCCCCTGGCAAGTGTCCTGGGTGCCCCCCACCTCGCCCCGCCTGCCACCCGCGTGCTCTGTGCCACTGCCGTTTGCCTTTTCCAGAGTCTCCGTGCGTGGGGTCGTCGCAAGAGTCCCCGATTTCCCCTTTTACAGTCAGGCGGTGTCGAGATTCATCCACGTGGTCGAGCGTGGGTCCTCGGTCCCGCTGGTTGCTCGGTGGACATGCCGCCGTCCCCCACGTGCCCCTGGCGCGGGGCTGCTGTGAGCACCGTGCCCAGGTGCCGCTGCCGGCTCACGCGACAGGCGCCCGTGTCCCTCCCAGCTGCCCAGCAGGCGCCGGCGTTCGGAGCTTTTTTCCCTTTTTCT